TTCCTGCCATCCTGGCAAAACCCTATTCACGTCTCTTAGCAGAGACGGCGTCCCGAGAAATGGTCATTTCAATGAATTAAGCTAAATACGGGAATTTGGGAGTTTGGGACTAGGAAGGAGCGAGTACGTTGCATTCTTTTTTTCTTTTTCTTAGAGCCAAGCGGATCCTGTTGTGAGGCTACATATGTTTTAATCCTAATGACTGGAGACAAAGGTGAGGGCTGGCAGTTTGATCCGTCCAAAGTTCAAAGATCTGAAATCTCAATAAGTTTCTGTTTGAGGTGAAGGGGAGAAACACAAACACCATGGCACGGCTTGGACCAGCGAGCTGCAGTGTTTGGGAGCGAAATGCGAGGTTATTTACACTAATCTGTCCTTAACTGCTACTTTGTCACAATGGGCAGAATAATTAGTAGAAAATAAGCAGGGAGAACAAAGGCAGGTTTTCTTCTTATCGCCTTCCATTTTCCAATCTTCTCTTCCCTCAAATTGCTCTGCAGCTGAAAAGGACCTTTCGACCCTGCAAATTGCAGAAAATGTTCATTCTGGTTTTATTAGTTATCATTCTACATTTGCCAGTAGACTGAGAAGCCCGGGTTCTCACTGAGAGGAAAAACGACCCCTTTTACAATATCGCAGCTGGCATTTCAATAATCAGACTAATTGCATTTTTATTTTAGCTATTAAGCACTAGCCAATATTTCTTAATACAATATCACGGCGTGGGAGTTTTGCGGAGACCTACGTGTACATATTCCCTTACCCAGTCCCTCTCCGCACTCTCTTGTGATATGATTTTCGCCTGGTCATTGTGTGTTGCGTGTATTTCCACTTGTCTCCCATGGAAACAAATACGTATCAATTATATATATGTTAATATATGCAATATATTTACCTATATAGCTGCCTAGTGTACTGTCCATCTCGTGTTCATATGAGGATAATTTATTTATTCACGAATTCAAATGATCGAGCTGAATGTACACTAAAAGACTTTATTTATCTAGTCTGGCTTTAAAATAACATTCTTTAGGGGAGAGGTGACTTTACGTAAATACATGCAGATATATGCCTAGAGCCCGTTTTATCATAACTGAGGTGAAATATCATATACGTGCATTGTTATCGCAATTAAGTGTTTTATCTGTAATATCGCTGTTAAAGTAAATCAAGGTGAATTGCTCTTTTAAAAGCTAGCTGGAGTTACAGAGAGAAAATTCTTTTATTTCTGGTTTGCGTTGACGGACCAGTAACCATTCAAGTATTCAACCTCTCCGCAACGTTTCAAAATAATATTTGAAGCTCAGCCAAAGACTGAAGTGTTTTTTGAACAGTGCTTATAGATTTTTCTTTTATTTTATTTACACTGCTATATTTCATGGGGAATAAAAGACAGATTTTTTTTTTCCCTCTCATCTTCCTGTCCGGTAATTTTAAATAATTTCCTTGCGATAAACATTTTCTCTTGTACGTTTTCGCTTCTGTAGATGTCAGCAATGTCCATTCGGGCTCGGGAAACGGCCCGAGGAGGTTGTCGCTATTTTACCTCCCCCTTGACTTGGGTGAATATTGGGGGCTGTTGCACCGACTCTCCCGATCTCGGCGCAGCCGGCGCTTCCCGCGCCGCGCACCGGGCCCCGTTTGCGCGTAACGGAGCCGCTGTCGCCGCCTCGCACGTGGCCTAGYGGCCACAAGGGCCGCGGAGCGAGAGGCGAAGCTGCCGCGGAGCCAACGCGGCCGCCCGCTCCCCGCCGCACCTGCGCCAGAGGTCCCGGGGCCACCTCTGCCCTGCGCCAAACCCGGGCCCCGTCCCGKCCCATCCCGTCCCATCCATCCCGTCAGGATGGCCCATCTGTCTGGAAAAAATAACTCCCATGAGCTGCCCACCGCACATGCCCGCTGAACGGGAGCCGTTCGCTCCCTTCCTTTACGCGATCCCATTCCAGATTATTTTTCCGCTGCTGTCAAGGACAGGATTGAAACGACAGCCCCGCTGCTTGGAGCAGGGCAGAATAGGGGACACTTTTCTCCGCTCTGTTGACTTTCACGTCCTAAGCCAAGTGCAGCAAGGTGCCCTCACTGCSTGGGGACCCTGCGGGCTTCACACGAACCATTTGCCCTCCTTGTCCGTGGCTCGTTTGGCCACGAAGTCACCGTTTGCCTGCAACGAGCAAGGGAAAGAAAATAATCTTGGTGGCGGGCGGCGCTGGGACACGGGCTGTGTCCGTGACAGGCTCCGCTCTTTATCTGCCACGGGTTTGGAGCCACCCCGGGCCACTTAAACCTTTTAATTGCTCACGCCTCGAATATTTCCATTAGACACGGGCTGTGATCCCCGGTTGATATGCACAACCCCCGGCCTTATCGCTGTCGGCCCATGAGTATATTCTGTGTGCGAGCCTGAGGCACTAAATCAATGCCCCCGCTCAGAGRGGGAATATTCTCTATAGACTATAGACTAGTCTTCGGAGGGCGAGTGAAGTCCTGTTCAAAACGGGCCTCATCCTGTCCCGATCCGCACACCGCTGCCTCTGGCAGAAGCAGCGGGGCTTTAGATGGAATCCGCCTGGACTCGGTGCAACCTGGAGTTGCTCCGCGTTTCGGCGGGGCTCCAAAAACCCGGAGGGCGAGGGAGCTGCGCAGCCCGCGCAGGCTGTAGGTTTGGTTTTGGCTTTTGCCTTCGACCCTCACACGCAGTTAGTGGCCGCTGCTCCCAAGCCGTCGGGGGGCAATTATGTGATCATTAGGACAATTACGCGGCTTTTTTACGTGCCAGGGGATGAGCGCGGGGAAGGCGTTAAGCGCCTCCGGGGATGCCGCTCGCTGCGCGGCCGCTGCGGTTCGCGGTGTCAAGGCGAGGCGGGAGGCGGCGGTGAGGGAAATACGCGTAAACACATATAGGCGGTGAGACACATATACACATATAGGYATCTGCATGCACATACAGCCCGCAAGGACGGCAGAAAGGCCCGCGCGCGGCGCGGCCGGCGCTGCGCGCACGGCGCAAATGAACGCGGCCCTGGCCGGGCGCCGCAGCCGCCAGCGCTGCCGCGGGCCGCGGCCTCCGCGCACCCCCGCGGAGCCGCCGCTCGCGCTGCGCACGACGGCGAGTCCTGCAGCCGCCCCCGCGCAC